AACTTAAAATTTAGAGTGGATCTCCTGGGACATGTAAAAAATGTTAAAATTAACATTTTCTTTTTTACTATGTAAAAGATATAAAAATATAAAAGAATATATAAAAGTACAAAAGTGGAAAAGATATAATCGGGTGCAATTTAATAATTTAGAAAAGATATTAAAGAAGATTACTGTAAACTCTGACATTTTATTTTATACAATATATATGTATTGTATTTGTATTAATACATACGTAACATGATATAACGAGCAACGTGTAAAAGTTCAATATTACATTCGATAAAATTTTCCTTCTTATAATCGTAATCGAACATCGTAATTACGATAACATCGTAATTACGAGTAATGTTCTTTTAATTTACATAAAAGATAAGCTTAATTCTTATGTCTTGGATCATATATCCAGTTTATATTTATATAACTCTGATTTAGTTTGACTATTAGTTTGCACAATTATATAAAATACTGATTCGCGTTTTCCTGCACGTTATAGAAAAGTTCCTGTACAATAAAAATCATTGTATAATAAAGAAAGATCACATTCTTTTTGCATTTCTATCATAATAAACTGAAAAAAGTGAAATCTAAGCTAAGGACATTTCAGAATAGTACTTTAATAAACTAAGGAGGTCATCCGAACATTTCTCAGTCGATTTCCATTTACTAATGTTTAATTTAAATAAATACTTTGAGTTATAATTTTCTCTTATGAAATCTTTCGGAGAAAAAACGTAGGAATTATCATCTCATCTCCATTAGAATCGCGCGCAACAAAGGTTTTTCTAAAAACATCTTTTTTCCAGTCATCGCTTCAATTTCAACTTCAGACGCAATGCAATGTATTATACGCACTATCGCGCAAATACGCACGCTGACAAATATCCGGAATGACGTACATTTCCGCTCGTCATGGGATTTACACGATTCAAGGTTTTTCGAAGAAAATCTCCTAGATATTGTATCTAAGTGCGCAAAAATTTGAAATTTGCCCGATGAATAAACCACCGCGAATATGCGATCCCTGAATCCCCCGTCAGGGATTTTCCTGGGAACCAAGTCGAGCGAGAGACAACGTATTGGCTTCAGCGATAACGTCGATCGCCGCTCGTGCATAAAAGCCCCGGTCTGTCAAAAACGGTCATCCTCTGCCAGAAACAGTCACTGCCGCTGGAAAGTATCAATCCCCGTCGATTGGTCCATTGATATTAGGGTCTGTTTTTTATTGCTGCACTCTGAACCGGTGCAATAAATTGAAGTGAAACAAATATATTTGTTTCACTTCAACTTATTGCACTGTGTGTACCAGTTCAGAAAGTGTAGCAATAAAAAACAAACCTATTATTTGTCAACTACCAATATCACGGTTGCGACACGACATATTTCGCGACGACTATCAGCTTCTTATTTCCCAAGTCGCATATAAATAAACTTTGGCCTTTTTTTTTTCTGACACGAGAACCATCCGATTAATTTGAACTTTCCTTCTTTAATCTAATCTCAAATCGTTTCATTATATATCTTCTCTCTTTCTCTCTCTCTCTTCGGTTATTTTTGTAATATTTATTCACTCAGATAACGATCTCCATTAACCGAAGCAAATTATTATTATCTTAGTGGTTAAACTCTTTCAACTTTGTTTACTCTCGTCTGTATCAAGTCTTTAAATCGAATTAGAAACTTATTTACTAATAAGAAAATAAAATGCTCAAGCCGGCTTCTTTGTCCGCGAGCGATCCGTTATTCAGACGTTGTTAGATTTTTTGTCCGGCAGCGATCATCTTAATGTCACTGGTCTCTGTTTACTTGTTAGCTCGTTAGTGAAGAAAAATCACGTCGATTCTTGATCGGCAATGCCTGAGGCTAGAGACAGTAGAGACCTTATATCAATCTGATCACGAGCAATTTTGTCACAATCTTACGAGAGAGAAAGATATATATAATTCGCCTCATATATAGACTGTTTTACTCTAATTTATACTGTCTTACTCTATAATCTTAATTAAAGTTGTCGCGAGTGAAACAACCCAGATAGTCAAGCTCCTAATTATGAGAAAGGAAATAGCTTGGTACAAGTTTCCTTTCAGTTGCCATAAAA